TTTTTTTTAACTGGTCGGCAGACCGCCGACCAGTCGGCCCAACTGGCCGGCTGCAATACGGTCAGCGGTTGGGGTCGGCGGTTGGGGTCGGCGGTCGGCAGGGATGTAACCCTGCTAAACTCCTTATCTAACTGCCATGTGCTCAGCTAAGAGCGTGCTCAAGTCATGACTACAGCGCATAATACCCCCACACTAGAACTTCCCACTGGTAAGTGACCGCCATTACGACCAGATTAGGACATGGTGGTCACGGTGTACACAGTGAGCTCCTCGCATTTCTTCGCGATAGTCCTACTGTGTTTAACACAAAGAACGTTAAGCGATCTCCTGCAACAACATCCTACGTTGGCACAACTAAGGTGAGGGATGAGACGTAGCCCACCTCGGGGAAGTTGGCCAGTTTCGCCGGATTAGGTTTGCCCATAACAAACACATACGACTTCTTTCCAGCTGCCGCGATGACCTCTCTCAGTCGTTTAATTGCAGTCAAGTATCCAGCTGTTCACAGCACCGAACAATCACACCCGTTAATCGATCAGCGCCAGAGAATGGATTAGTGCCAGAGAATGACCACTGTTGGTCGACAAGCACCAGAGCATCACAGCCGTTGATGAATCAATACGTCAATACGTCAATACGATGGGTCAGCGAATGTTCCCGCCAAGTGGCTGCATGAGACATGTTCTCCGAACTGACAACAGACCGGTCACGAGTTCAAATCTTATTGGTGCTTGGCAGACATGTCATCTCCAAGTATTATATTTGTTGGCAACAGCATAAACACGACCAGATACAGACAAAGCCGGCACTCCCAAGCTGTCGAATGCGGAAATCCCAACATCAAGAAGAAAAGTTTGAGTTGAGGAGGCATCATGTTTCAGAAAGAAAAGAAAAAAAAGAAAAAAAATACTAGATATACACCAGTGGATAACGGGGTAAACAATATGGATGAAATCAGCTTTTTTTGGCCAAATTTGCAATCTTTTGCTCGGCTCCAGGAGTGGCCCGGGGGCAACTTGCCCGGCCGGGCCAAAAATAATTAAAAAATAAAAATAAAAATATTATTGTTTTATTTTTATTTTTACCTTAAATTTGGTAGAGAATTTCGATGTGACCCTGAGGCAAAAGTTTCGAGTTTATTTTTCTGCATCACATAGTCTTATTTCCGGATTTGTTGTTCTTTTTTTTTGTTTTTTTTTTGCTGGGCCCTTCCGTGGTCCTTGCACGGCCGGGCTGCCCGGTCAAACAAGGTGACCGGGTGGCCCAGCTGTTTCGTGATTTTATTTTTTTTGACTGTTGGAAATGTGTCTGGTGACCATTTCTTAATGTTCTGAAGTGTTTTTGTCCATTGGAATTGTCTGTGTTGACCATTTCCAAAAAACGCCGAAAATTCTGAAAATTCTCTGGTTGCAAATTTTCATTCAAGTGCACTTTTGCCTCACCGTTTCACCTTGTTTCTTCTTCCTTTTTTTTTTGCGGCGGTTTGTTAATATGGTGTGCACTCTATGGAACGATGCAATTTTTGGTTAAAAAGCCCTTCGGGTTTCTATCTTTTCTTTAAAATTGCATTAAAAAGACGCTGAAATTTTGGGTCTTCGTTAACCACCACTCCCAAGCTCAAGGTGTTCCTCATTCAACCCCCAATCCCCAACTGTCTGCCCTCGACGCCCTGCAATAAACGAATGAACAAACGCCACATTGGCGTTTCGCCAGTTTCGGCAAAGCTTGGCGCACGCCACACACGGGGGGGAATCCGCCACGGCAGAAAGAGGCTCAGAAGTGCTGGTGGTCTAAGGAGATAAAAACAAACATGATGAAGAGGTACACAAAAGAAACTGTGTAGCATCGTGTTCGCGTCCGGGGACCGAACCCAAACGTCGGCAACCGAACGCGAACGAGCGCCAAAACAAACATGATGAGTAGGCATGCCTGACATTGGTGTTCCGGCAAAGCTTGGCGCACCCCACACAGGGCGAAGCCGTGTCGGCAAAGAGAGGCTCAGAGATGCTGGTGGTCTAAGGAGATAAAAACAAACATGATGAAGAGGTACACAATACAAACATGATGAAGAGGTACACAATACAAACATGACGAGTAGGCATGCCTGACAAGGACCCGGTCACGAGTTACGGCCCCAACAACCCCAATATGCAATGCCCTGACTAGCTTCAGTAAAGGTCATCTTCCCTCAAATGACTACGTATTTCACACATTACTTGTACTAGATGCATTCAATCGAGCATCCCTTCCTCCTTCTGTTCTGGGGACCCAATCACTGCAGTATGTGTGATGGCCCTGACCAGGTTCGATGGAGGTGACTACCATCATCATTAAGACAGAACACAAAGAGCAGAAATGATCATCCGAGTGCATCTTGTACATGTTTTGCGGCAAATACGTTTGTCAGCATCGTCCCTGCACATGGAAGACACATCTACACAGAAATCCTAAAAAGGCAGCTACTAAAAACAATGGGCGTTCGTGTCCTTCAGAACATCCGTTGAAATTCGAACGATACAGAGCGAGAAGGTTAGCATGACCTGCACAAATCAAGAAATGGTCCTTTTTTTTAAGAGGGAAAAAAGAAAAAAAAAACAATGGACGTTCGTTCCGTTCTTCCCCCAACAAAGAAACGCGAATAGCATTACTGATTTTCCGTGTGTGCGCGGGGATCATCCGGACGGCATGACTTCAAGCACTGATATTAAAAACTGCCCCTCCAAATGAAAAAGAAAAAGAAAAAGAAAAAGAAAAAGAAAAAGAAAAAGAAAAAGAAAAAGAACAGAAATCAGGGAGCCATCTCTGGCAAGTTGGCAAGCGTTACCTGCCTGCTTTCTTCCTCACATGGTTCTTTCAGTACAGGTCATGATGCGGTGAAATAAATGCTCACCTGCTCCGAGAGTCCCGACAACAATCCCTACAATTGACGCATCCTTAGCACGCTCGACCAAGTAATACCTGTCGCAGCCGACAACACCAATTAAAAAAAAAAAAAAAAAAAAAAAACGTTCATAAACTTAATAGAAAAGATGAATAAAGGCAACCTCCAAGCGTAGGCATGAAGTACAACGCCAATCAACCACAAACTCGGCACAAAAAGACATTCGCCTTTAACTATTCAAATAGTACTAATTAATAATAGCATATTGTTTCTCGTTACTCGACATCCCATTTTTCAACATTTATTTTTTTCAAGATTAGTGCCAAAATAGGCGCTTTGTTCAATGCACCTTCTTCACTCTAGTTACTGGAAGTTATGTTTTTTTTTAGGGGGGGGGAGGGGGGGGGGAACCTATGTGGGGAACCTTTTGGGTTTGGATATGGATGCTCGAAAAACTTCTGTCCAGGGCAAACAGGATCACAAGTTTTATCTCTGTCATTATTTTCCAACATGACTTCAAAAAACTCTATCACCCACACAAAAGAACTTCAAACAAACCGACGGGCCTAGCCCAGTTAGGTACACCCATGAACTGTCGAAATACAGACCCAAGTTCAAATCCAGATGGACTCGAAACAATTCTGAATTACTTGGGGCAGGTCAGTTCAATGATGACATCTCAAGGCCGTCGCCCGTCATAAGAAAGAAATGGAAAGGAATGCGAAAACACACACACACACACACACACACACACACACACACACACACTCCAAACAAACTTTTGCAACAACCTTGTTCCGAAATGCGCTGCCAGGAAGAGCAGGGGAAGGGAGCCAGAGGGCGTTCCACGTGGTCACCTTGTGTGGTTAGCAGACCCCAACCCTCTAAAAAAACCTCTGAGCCCTCTACACCGCAAACCCCCCAAACCCTGAGACCTTAAGAGCCTAAAACCCTTATACCCTAAGGCCCTAACACCGTAAAACCCTAAATGCCCAAACCCTAAGCCCTAAACCCTAAGACCACAAAACCCTAAGCCCCAAACAACCTGGATCCCTAAGCTCTAAGACCACAAAACCCTAGGGCCCAAACAACCTAGATCCCTAAACCCTAAGACCACAAGCCCCAAACAAACCCGAACCCAATGGTTCACTCTCGCCGACAGGAGTGCTAGAAGAGGGGCAAGGCACGCAGCCCAGAATCTCTGAGGTTGCTGTATGGCTGATGAACCCTGCTGTGTTCTGCAACGGCGACCATCAGCAGCTACAGATTGCAGTGGATGCTGGCAATTCCTATGGGAGGGGTCTCAGCCATGGGCCCTGCCTCTGAAGTCGCCTAAACCACCCCTTGCATGAGATGTTTCATGGTCCAGCTACTACGGACCTTCTCAGGGCCTTCACTATCCAGAAGCCCCCCTCCACAACGCCAGCCCTAGCCTGCCAGAGAGCCCAAAGGGTACTCTAGCCTGCCTAAGTGATCCGGCACGAGCCTAGGCAGCGCCCAACTTAACATACTACTTGACGGCACAACGGCGGCAGTACCCAACGTACATGCCTGGTCTTCCTTATTTTTTCAAAGGTCAAACTGGTCAAACTTACTTGGCTTGTCGCGCAGGCCATACATACCCGGTCTTCCTTATTCTTTCAAAGGTCAAACTGGTCAAACTTACTTGGCTTGTCGTGCAGGCCGTACATACCCGGTCTTCCTTATTCTTTCAAAGGTCAAACTTACTTGCCCCACGGCAAAGAGAGACGCAGGAGTCAAATCCACCACCCATCCATTGTATTTTTTTCGCTTTTCTTCCCCCCACATCCTTTTTTCAAAAGGAAAAATAGAAGGGCATAGCTCCTAACAATGCTAACATATAACGATGTCCACAACTCTCAGTCTATTCATAAACAGTTCCATGGCTGTAAGATTCAGCCACCAGGCAAATACCAAATCCCCCACAGCATCGTAAACACCAAAATGGGGGGGGGTATGGGGTGGTTGGGGTTGGAGTGTAGGGGGGGTATTGGGGGTATTGGGGGGGGTAATAAGGGTGTTGGGGGCGGTTTGGGGTGTTGGGGGGGTGTATGGGGGTATTGGGGGCCGCTATGGGGGTGGTGGTGGTGTTACGACGACCCCCGTCAAGTAGGTGCCGACCAGCCGATCGGTCGGCGGGTCGGCAGCCGACCAGTCAAGGGTCGCCGACCAACACTGCAAAAGTCCGAAAAAATCCACTTAGTACAAAGCAAAGCGAAGATGGACGTCCAAAGGGAGGAGGAACAAACCTGCGCTTGAGGACGCGGCTGCACTCCTGAACATTTTCAATCAGCTCCCTCGTATCCGGGTCATATCTGACAAACTGTGAGAAACCAGGAGCAGGCCGCAGGACGAAAAAGAAGACAAGGACATCAAAACAAAGACGTATAACAAACAAATTAATAATTTGAAATTCACTACCAACATCAGAAAAGATACATCTCAACCCGACACACACGATAGAGGTCTACGGAGGACAGACATTATATTATTTGAATAAACCAGCAACGACTTTTCTTTTTCTTTCTTTCGCGGTGGCCAAACCTAACCTTCTGACATCTTCGAATGGTGTGATAACCCATAACCAAAAAATATGTATGTCCAAACCCCTCCTTTGGTACCGTCGGATTTTGGACAACTGGCGCCATGCTGCAATTCGGGCACTACTTTCAAATACCACATTTTTCAGTTCTGCCCTCGGGGCTTTTGCGGAAATGCCCCTGGTACCGTACGTGTCACCGGTACCTATACCGGCTCCCCGTACAGTACGGGGACCAGTCTCGTACCAGTTTTCAGCTGCTGTACTCGTACTCAGTGTGACTTGCTGTTTCGGCATTCGGAATCCAAGACTTCGACTTTGTGCCCTTGCCACTGTGTCTGCGTCCGACCCTCTGTCATGTCGAGTGAGCGAGTGTTTGTGTGTGCTCTCACTCTCTCCCTCTCTCTCTCCTCTCCCTCGGCTCTCCCTCAGCCTCGCCCTCATCACACTATGGGAGCTCGAGTCTGGCATCCCTCGACCGGTTTCAGCCAGAGCCAGAATCCAGCCTCATCAGGAGGGAAAAACTCAGCGCCATTGATTTGGTAGAGATCTTTCTGGATAGAATCATAAGAGAAATCAAAAAAGCAAAATCTCCGATGGCAAAATTTCCAATTCTGGTGGCGAAAAAATGTTTTTTTTGCTTACTTCTGCTTCGAGTGGTCCCAAAACCTTTTCGCTCCCAGCTGCTACCAGCGGTCCCAAAACCTTTTGCCTCCCAGCTGATACCGGTATCCCAAAACGTTTTTGCTCCCACTGCTACTGGTGGTCCCAAAACTTTTTGGCTCCCGGCTGCTACCGATAGTCTGATTTTCGACGCGCCAGCGGTACTGGTGGCTTAACAAAAAAAACTTTGCTGGCCCATAACCATCAAAACAGCTTTTCGTTGCCAAAGAAGAGTCAAAAAAGAAAATCTCCAATGGCAAAATTTAAAATTCTGGTGACTAATTATACATACACACATGTTAAACAATCAGCAGAAAGGAAGAAAAGGACCAAAAACAGGGGGTCGCTGGTAGAGACTCTTTTGTCAGACTTGCAGAGTCTCAAATCGTCTGATGAACCATCAATGGAAAGGAAGAAAGAGCAAAAAACTGCCGGCTGTGACTGACATGCACTAGAGATTCATCGACTCTTCAGGTGGCTAAATATAGCTTATACAAAAGGCACCCAAAAATCGCATTCAAGAATATACAGATTAACAAAAAGTGTCCTTCTTATGACATGCCCTGCCCACCCCCACTGCACCCCCACACCACATTCCGAGAAGGAGGAGGAGGAGGAGGAGGAGGAGGAGGAGGAAGAAGAAGAAGAAGAAGAAGAAGAAGAAGAAGAAGAAAGAAGAAGAAGAAGACACAGATTGACAAAACTGTGGTTGAAATGACATCCCCACTCCAACCCCCCAATCCGACCCCACCACCAAATTTCCCGTTCAGGAGAATAAGAAGAAGAGGAAGAAGAAGGCGACAAAAAAAAAAACGGTGTCCCAAAAGGCGAAGACGACAAAAAAAAAGGACGAAGAAGAAGACGAAAAAGACGACGGAAAAGACGACGGAAAAGACGATGAAAAAGACGACGAAGAAGCAGTAATGATAACTAGGATGAGAACTGAACTGACCTTACAGGAGTTGTAGGTGAGCATCCAATTTGTGAGCGCAGGGCCTTCAGGGCCAATCCAAGCCAACACATAGTCTGTTATGTTTCGACCCTCAGGCAGTGACCACGTCAATCCTCCCAACTCACTGTCCCTCCTGTCCAAGCTTGATGCACGTGCGATTGCCTGTTCCTCTGCAATCCCTTGTTCCTCAACAGGTGTTTGCTCTCGATCATGTCTGATAATACCCTCACTACTGCATCTCTCCGACGCTGCCTCTGGTTCCATCTCATTTCCGACCATTCTCGCAACTATCAGATTACCGTTTTCTGGGGAATGACCCTGTTCCATCAGGCCAGCGCTACTCATAGCAATATCCTTGGCCAACATGTGTTCTATGGCGTATCCATACTCAGGAGCATATAACACCTGCACAGAGAAGCAACAGAGAGACAGAAGGGGAGAGAGAAGGGGAGAGAGAGAGAGAGAGAGAGAGAGAGAGAGAGAGAGAGAGAGAGAGAGAGAGAGAGAGAGTTAAACCAAAAGAACAACAGAAAAAACTTGTCAAAAAGAGAGAGAAAATGTTTTTCTTTTTGTCTTTTCTAAAGTTTTTTTCAAACTGGCATCCCCTTCTTTCTTCTTCCTTGACATGAAAATGAATCCATTGGGGAACTTACATTTCCCGTCCTGTGACTCTTTTTCTGTGCATGCACACTGCCAGTGATCCCAATGACAGAAACATCTGAGATTGCAAGCTATATATAATTATTATATATTATATGTTATATATATTATATTCACTAATGCTGGGGTCTTTTTTTTCTGGGTGGACGTCCGGTCCTTGTCCTGATTGTCCAATCCGACAACCGGGCCAAACATTCACGCTGGCCCTTGTGTCCGCCCCCTACTGAACTGAACCTAATGTGGGTTCTTTGTCAAATGGGGTATATGCCCATAACTCTCGTAAGGCATTTAGATCAGTAGAAAAACAAATAAAAATCACCAACGATGGCGGTGTCAAAAACATGCTGTCCGAGTCACTATTTTGTGTTTTGTTTTCTTTTTCGGAAGTTTTTCCCCATGTCTCTTATTTTGGGGCTTCACTATTTTATTTTATTTCCTTTGAACATGGGTTCTTTGTGAAGTGAGGTATTTATCAAAAAAAAAAAAAGAAAAGAAATCACGAAAAATTGTGGTGTCAAAAAAAAATGGTGCATCCGGGGCGAGGTCCCATTAGCAGTCGGATAGGAGTGTGGCCGATCCAGTGTGACACTGAGTGGCAGCGGGCTGACAGGTTCATTACGATTTATTTATTTATTTTATTTTTTTTTCTCGATTTATGCGTGTCATCCTTGCGCAGGGGCCATTTGCTAATTTACCCTTCTCTGTATTGTTCCAATTTTAACGGATGTCCCGAAGGACCATTACGAATTTCTGGGCGGCGAAAACACGAGAAAGGCAAAAGAAAAAAAGAAGAAACAGAGACCTCCCACCGGAAGTCACGGCAGAGTGCTTCCCAGCCATCAGATCACAAATGATCTGATGTTGGTGATTGCAACAACAGTGAACAAAGTAACCGCCACATTTTCTGGAATGAAGTCTACTTCTGTCAGCACTGATCCTGACACCCTCCATATACTCTGTGATTGAAGGAGGGCTCCACCCAATGAGATAATTGCACAACAGCAAGTAAAATACTGAAAATCTTCTATCCAGTGGGCCGACCCCACCCTCTTTTGGGGTTGGCCACACCCCCAACCGATTGAAAAGATTCTGGCGGGAAGTTTTCTTTGCACGGGCATGCCCAGTGTTAAGGACAGGAGGAGGGGAACAAAGATCTCCTTACTTTTTCAGGTGATAAAACACAAGTAAAATACTGACCATGGGATCACGAGTACTGCACGGCAGGATTTGGGTCACTCAACTGCCCCACACACTCGTTTCTATCCTATCCCGTTGCTAGTGGGACCTCGCCTGTTGCAACTGCTGCTGCAGCTTTTGCAACTGTTGCAATTGCTGCAGCGGCTGCGGTAGCTGCAGCAGCTCCTTTTTATCTTTCTTCCCCCCCCCCTCCTCCGCAGCGGTTACACCTGCTGTGGCTGCTGCAGCTGCCGCACCCCCTGCCGCTAATGCACCTGCCGCTGCTCCAAGTACTGCAGTGCTGCATCTGCTACAGCAGACCCCTCAACCAACCCGCCCCACCCACTTGTTCTATTTTTCTTTCCCCCCCCCAATCAAAACGGCCCCAAAGATTTGCCACAGGGTCCCACACCGAGCGTGCCATAAATCACACGTGTGCGGCCAAGATTTGCTCGCAATCGGCCCCAAAGATTTGCCACAGGGTCCCACACCGAGCGTGCCTTAAATCACACGAGCCAAGATTTGCTCGCAATCGGCCCCAAAGATTTGCCACAGGGTCCCACACCGAGCGTGCCTTAAATCACACATCTGCGGCCAAGATTTGCTCGCAATCGGTTTTCCGGGATCCTGGACAACGGGGGTACCGACGTGCGATGGAAACGTCCGGCCCAGCTAAGCTGTCCAGCCATCAGACAACGGGGGTACCGGACGTGCGATTAAATTTTGTGCAGATTATACATCTTCAAGACTTCCAAGTCATTTGCAGAAATAAATAAATTAACTTCAAAAATAATTCAAAATCTGGTTATCCGGTTGTGTGCTAGGCTACCAGCCGGGCCACCCTATTTTCCCGGGCGGCCCGGCCGTGCAAGGACCAGGGAAGGTCCCAGCCAAAAA